TGCTTGTGTGACCATCTTTGAAGCCATAAAAGATTTTTAAAAGTGATAAAGTACTTTCTTCATTCATAAATGTTACCTTTTTTTAACTATCAACCATACTTTTCCTCTTCTCAACTGAGAGGATAACAAAAAATTCTCTAATGTTTAATAATAATGTTTCCTAGACATATAATATTTGAGGGCTACAGACGAATAGAATATGTCACTCCAAAATAAGACTGTGGGAGACCAGAACCCATCCCTCACAATAAGAGGGCGGGAGACAAAGCGCAGCACTGGCCATAAGCCTCTTTGGCATGAGGATAATTTTGAGCTGATTATTTTAAGCAAAAGCAGTCACAGCTTTGAAAACAGAGCACAAGTTGCTCCTTTATAAGAGGGAGCTTATATCTCTAAAGAAAATCATCTTTCTCTACCCCCTCTGGCATCCTCCTCTCCCCTCCACTACCCACCCCTCCTCCCAACTTGACAGATAACTCCAAAACCCCCCCCTCCCCCCCGCTACCCCCTGCAAAGCACAGTGTGAATCCACACAACAAACCTTACTATTGATTTCTTCTTGGTCACTTCCTGTCACAGGCTTCCCAACACTGCAGTTAAAGACCTTCTTTAAGTCAGAAGCCTGAGTCTCCTCTTAGAGAGTTACTAACTTCTCTGAGTATCAGCATGGGATGCATGTTGATGACCTTCTGTGTGGTTTCTCTTGTTAATCTCTTCTGACCCAGACAGTTCAAGTTAAAAACTCAGAAAAAGGAGAAACTTCCTTTTTTAATATTCATTCTATTATCAGGGTGTGTGTGTGTGTGTGTGTGTGTGTGTGCAGTTGGTTCTCTACTTCCATCTCTATAAGTTCTGAGGATGAAACATGCATCATTAGGCTTACAAAGCAGACGCTTCCACCCACTGAACCATCCCATTGTCTCTCCGACCTTTTTACTGTCTGAGACAGGGTCTCACTAAATTGCCCAAGCTGTCCTCGAACTCACTAGGTAATGAAGACTGGGCTTGAACTTGCCATCCTCCTGCCTCAGCTCCCTCTCCAACCCCTAAGTAGATGGGATTACAGACCTGTTCTACTAAGCCTCACTCAGTCCTTAAACCTGGGACAAGATATTCAATAGTAATTATCTTTTGTTTTTTTTTTTGAGACAGGATTTCTCTGTGTAGCTTTGGCTGTCCTGGAACTCTCTTTGTAGACCAGACTGCAATAAGATAATTCTGCCGGCACATACTGATGAGGGTAGGCACTAATAGCACAACCTCACCTTGCTGTCTACTCAGAAAAGGCCTTTGGCCATCACATCCTCTGGCAAATCCTTATCAAGGGATAGACACAACTGCCAACAAACTGACTATTCCTTGTTACAAGCACAGCAGGCACACTGTAAGCTGCTGTCACCTCTCACCCAGAACACTGCAATAGCCTCCCAACCCTTGCCAACCTTCATCTCCGTGTGTGTGTGTGTGTGTGTGTGTGTGTGTGTGTGTGTGTGTATGGGGTATTCACTCCTGAGTGTGGGTGCCCTTGGAGAGTGGAGGCTTCAGAGACCCTTGGAGTGGGAGTTCCAGAAGGCTGTAACCACCCTGTGTGTATGAAGAACCAAAGTCTGGACCTCTGGAAAGGCAGCAAGTGCTCTCAACAGCTGAGCCATCTCTCCAGCTCCCCCCCCACACACACACACACATATAATTCTTGACAGTAACCTGAGGACTCTATTAAGTTATGACTCAGAGTCTGCCATTCCTGAGTCCCGGCAGCTAAAAGGCCTGAAGGTGGCAAGGGAAGGAGTGGAGAGAGAGTAAGGGTCTCTGTGGAGAAAGGCGCTGACTTTAAATCTGGGAAAACTTCAGGTCACAGCACTGCAGGAGCAAGAAATCCAGTGATTTCACCCTTCGCTGTCTTGTCTTTGCAAATATTTCATGGCTCAAACCCAGCACAAGAGGCAAGGGAGCCTGTTAGTACAGATCTACTTCCTGAGGCAAACTTAAAGATCTGTGGTACAGTTGGTAAATGCAAGCTCTCCAGCCAGTGGCCTCCCATCCCAGTTGGCCCTTTCAAACTCAGCAGCCATGGGCCACACACGATTCCATCTCATCTCCTGTCTCCTGTCCTGTCCTCGGCTGGCACACTCCCACCTCAGGTTCTCTACATGCTGTCCCAGCCCAGAGTGCTCATCCACTTGGTCCACTCATGACCTGTCCCCTCACAGACTTCAGATCAAGCATGATATCCTTGGCAACTCTCGCCTTATTGTGTTTTAAGTTTCTAGAAAACTCCTTTTTATCCTCCCTTCTATGACATGATATTGGTCATAGATCCGGCCTTGCACATGTTTAAGCACATGCTCTAACACTGAGTAACACCCCTGGTTCCTCATGTTTTTCTTTTCTTAATTGGCTCAGTCCCTGGCCTGGATCAATTTCCTTAAGATTCCTTAAAAAGAAAAAAAAACATCAAACCTATGTCCTTTGTTCACGGACTCATACCAAATGTCTGCGCAATACCTAGCATCTAAGAGATTTTCTTTTTTTTTAATTTTCATTTTATTATTTGTGTGTATGGGTGTTATATCTGTGCACCACCTACATGAAGAGCTCATGGAAGTAAGAATAGAACATTGAATACCCTGAGACTGGGGTTACAGACAGCTGTAAGCCACCTTGTGGGGTCCTGGGGATTGAAACCAGGTCCTCTAGAAGAACAGCCAGTGCTCTCAACCACTGAGCAATCTCTAGCCCTCAAGAATTTCCTGAAAGAAAATGAACAGAACAGAAGGCCTCATGAGAAAGAGCTCTTCCACTCCTTACAGGTTTTACTCCTGTTATTAAATTCTTAAATTACTGTTTAATAAGTGAAGTTTCCAAATGAGATAGAAAGCAAACAGCAAGCATTAGTCCTTATTGTCATGACACAAAATTGAGCTGTCAACAAATCCTTGAGGACGTTTTGGTCAAACCCAAAAGACTCAAACAGTATACTCTGTAAACAATTCCTCCCAGCAAATGTTATTTCTGACGACTGTTAACCAGCAACAAGACACTTCTCTGAGCCTCTACTTTCTCTGTCAGAATGTGTTAAGGACTGAGGGACACAATGTTTGGAGAACATTCGGAGAGCATTTAGCACTCAGCTAGAACCAAATGAATGGTCATTGTGGTGATTATTAAAATGCAGAGGAAGCCATAAGAATGAAATATCCCATCATCTTCTGTCTTAGGCAGGGTTTCTGTTGCTGCAACAAAACACCACGGCCAAAAAGCAGGTTGGAGAGTGAGGGTTTATTTGACGGCTTACACTTCTAGATCATAATTCATCACTGGAAGAAGTCAGGGCTGGAACCTGGAGTCAGGAGCTGATGCAGAGGCCACTGGAGGGGCTGCTTACTGACTTGCTTCCCTGACTTGTTCAATCTGCTTCCCTATAGATCCCAGGACCACCAGCCTAGAGATGGCACCACCCACAATGGGCTGGGCTCTCCCACTGATCACCCATTGAGAAAATACCCCACAGCTGGATCTCATAGAAGCATTTCCTCAACTGAGGCTCCTTCCTCTCTGATAATTCTACCTTGTGTCCCATTGACACACAAACCAGCCAGCACATCTTCCTTCTTACTGCAGCTTCTCATCCTAGACTTTTAAAATGTGAGCTGGGGGCTAGAGAGATGACTCAGCAGTTAAGAGCACCGACTGCTCTTCCAAAGGTCCTGAGTTTTATTCCCAGCAACCACAAGTTGGCTTACAACCATCTGTAACTAAGTCAGAGAGCTGAAGTCAAAAAGTAAGTTTTCTTTATTACCCTAAAGCCCACAAGGCATAAACTCAAAGATTTAAATAGTCCTTCTGCTACTATGTGAATAACCGTGTGTCCAATCCCTTGTTCTGTTATGAATCTTTACAGCAAGCAAGATGGCTCAGCAGGTAGAGGTGTTCGCTATGCAAGCCTGCCAACTTCAGTTGGATCTCCAGAACCCACATATTGTGTGCCCTGGCATCAACACCCACAAACATGCCATACACACATTCACACACATAAAAACTGAAAAATTTATAGTCATTATTTGCTGTTAGTTTTGCCTAAATAGAGGCTCCCAGCTTTAGATAGGAAAGCTGAAGCAGGTCCCTCCACAGTTAAGCCTGATCTTAGTAAGATCTTATTTTAGTAAGTGGCTGGATGCCTATTCCTTAGCGACAAGACTCATCCTGACCACTTCGAGTAACAGATGGGTAAACAGCTCTACAACAACCAATTTGGGAACAATTCCAAATGGAGAGTGAGAAAAAATGAAAACTATAATTCCACTACTCACACCTTAAACACTTTTCAAAATGGAATGTCTGGTACACTCAAGGCCTTAGTGAATCACAAGCAGTTCAAAGTCCATACTTTTTTTGTTCTTTCCGAATATATAGTTTTCCAGTCTGTCTTGCCCAACCAGGCTCTTGCCTAGGGGCTGTTATCTTTTTCTCTATTTCAAGCGTTCAACAGCAAGTGCTCAAATTTTTACCCACCATGAGGTAGGCCTCAACCTGATCCAGAAGGTCAGAAGTTAAAAAGATTTGGGGATGGCATGACCACAGTCCGGTCGTTCGGTCCTCTAAATGTCCAGAAACTGCGAGCATGTGAAGATAGGTGAGAAGTCGGTCCTAGAACCTCAAGACATCTAGACAGAACGGAGCGGGCTACCTGGTCCGCCCAGGCTGCTGTGGACTCCAGACACAGAAAAAGATTCTTTACAACTTCCAAAGCAGAGTGGACAAGGGTACTGTCCTGTTCTCCAAACCCAACCCTGACAACAACCCTTTCCTACCCAAGTAAGCCCCGCAAACGCTCCACTCGGAAGCCCCAGTCAGGGAGCCTAGAGCTCGGGGACGGGGGGCGCAGTGCACTACGGGAGTTGTAGTTCCACGGAGAGTTTTGCACTCAGACAGGCTTACAAATGGGACTCCTACTCCCAGAAGGCCCCGCGCGGGCGCCTCGCCCAGTCCTGCCACCTCACCTGTTCTATGGACGTGACTGTTTCCACTGAGTCGTCTTGCAACCGCTCCCGCGCGTGCTCAGGTCTCAGACTATACAGCGGTTCTGACCAAACAGGGGAGGAAGATGGAGGACAATAATAGGTGAAAGAACTCGAAGAAGCCATGATCGGGAGAGCTGCGAGCGCTGGATAGCACTCAGCTTCGTCCAGCAACAACGCGCATTGAAACTCGAGCGGGCTAAGGCGCTACGGAAAGTCGGTAGAGTCAAAAAGACTTTGAACGCGAATCTCTCCTCCCACCTACATCTTCAAGGAGTTCCTGGGATACTGCCGCCCCCCGTCGGACAGATGAGCTGCTGCAGGAGCTCAGGTTCCTGGAGCACGATAAAGGGTATCTAGGATGCCTCAGTTCGTTATGCAAATAATAAAAAAGAAAACGTCAACGTTTCCCTCTCGCCTAATTGTAATGCAGGAGTTTGCGATTTCAGCTGTTGAAGAACCCAGAGAATGTAACTTAAAAAGCATGTCCTACATCTCTCTTGATTGCAACGGTCACGCTATTAACTAATTAGAATTACCTTTGGGTCCTTGACAGCCTCTTTTGGTCCTTGACCAGCTTGAGCTGGTCTGTAAATTAGCAGAATTGCAGGTCTCAATACTCAGAGATAGAGGAGTGGAGTACTGTAATTTTCTCCCATGAAGGTTACAATGCAATGGCAGAAACTAAAATACCATAGAAGAAACTAGTGTAACTGCATCATCCAAAGAAATATCAACAAATATTCATGAAGCACCTGCTACTTGTTCTGTGCCAGAGTCCAGGAATGCAAAAGTAAACAAAATTACAAGGTCCTTTTCCCTTAGAATACATCTGAATTTCATTTTACAGGAATAAGCAGCATTAAATAAATGAACATAAATATTTGAAAACTTCCAATTACGGTATGACAGAAAATGATAGAGTCTGGCCTAGAGGGATGGCTCAGCAGTGTCTGCAGTTCCAGAGGATCCCAAGCACCCACCTGGAGACTTACAGCCACCTGTAACTCCAGTTCCAGAGCATCTGACGCCCTTTTCTGGCCTCCACAGACAACATACACACAAGTAATGCACATGTGTACATGCAGGCAAAAATACCCATACATGTTATTTTTAGTGTTGCTTTTTCATATATATATATATATATATATATATATATATATATATA